GAAACAAAACTTCAAGAACACGGCCACACAGCCCGGAAGACCCACACCAGCCAACTCTCCTTTCCTCAAGCCCTTTCTTCGTTCAGTCTTCGCTGCTGTGCCTCCTTCTGTCCGGGTTCTGCCCACATTGCAGTTGGGGTCAAATGAAGGGAGATCTTCACGCCAGCTGCCTCGGGGAAGAGGCAACTCACTGCCTGGAGCGAGCGGGCCTTTTCCCCTCCTGGGATCCAGAGTTTGGTGCTGCCTGGAAGGAGGGTGAGAACATTCCCACCCCCTCCTTCACTGGAGACCTTGTTTTATAAGAGGGGAGCTGCAAGCAAACATGTGCGTGGGTGGGTGGGTCAAGCAAGGAGTTAAGCCAGCAGAGACTCAGCACAGAGAATCCTCCAACCCAAAGGCAGGCAGCTCAGCAGCCACCTTCGGACAGCGAGAGAAAACTTCAGTGCTTGGAGCTGCAAGTCCACTGAGAGGCAGAGCTGGGAGGCGGGGAGGCCACAGTCTGCAAGCCAAACCGAGCCCAACCGAGCCACGGCAGAGCTTACAAACCAGCTGCAGGAACAGAAGACCGGGAGTGCCAGGAGGGGGGGAGAAAGCCCCATTCGCAAGCCTGTAGAGGAGTGAAAAGGGTCTTCACATGCAAATGGACTGAGATTGGCTACAAGAGCTGAAGTCCTGGGGGAAAGGAAAGATTTAAAGAGCTAAGAAATAGTGAAGATAAGAAAACACTGCTACAGGCATGGGAATAGGACTTAGAAATAGAAGATAGGGATAGAAATTTATGGATTAAATAAGAATACAGATAGTTGTAAACTTACAATAATAGGAAGATAGTCGAATAAGAAAGGAGTTTAATTTTGTACAATAACCAGTTTTGTGTGGGAAAAACAAATACACTCTTTGTGTCTGTCTTCTGTGCCATATTAAGAAAAGCCCTAGCATGCCTCACGTTCCTGGAGAAAACATGGGATGTCATTTCAAGAAAATTACAGAACCAAAGAGGTCTATCTAAGCCCGTAACACATAAAAGTGGAGCTGCTCTCACAAATCTTTGCAAGTTAATATCCACCCATTCTTCCTTCCCCACAACAAATGGGGTCCTGTTCTCCATTTTAGAACAGCAACACCCCTCTTCACATTATTTATTTCAAACCCTGGGTTGGAAAGAACACAAGCCAAAGGGAGACATAATGGAAACGTTATGAAGCAAGGAAAAACAGGTCCTGAATGTTTAGGTCCCCCACCCCGGCCCCCACCCCGACCCCAGGTACAGACTTCTGCACGGCTATAGGTTCTATGCATCTTTTAGAAGGCACAGTGACAATGCTGGTTCCATAGCAAACCCTGGCCCTGATCATATCTCTGAGGTGGCTTCATATGTTTTGCATTATTTTCTTACCCAATGCAGTTCCCATTGCTTCCCCTCCTCCCCTGCCACTACAAAAAAGAAACCTGTGATTTGCAGAGCCGGGTCATGCAATGCCAGTTGTAAGCTAGGTTTCTCTGCTCCACGTTCAGACACATTCCTGTGACATTCAGTAGAAAGACTTGGCATCTAGAAGTGTCAGTGACCAACATTTCACGTTCCTGGTTTTGTCTGGGTGTTACTTAAACGCTACTTTAAGGAATAGTCAGTCTGAGGAATAGACGTAGGAAGTGTGAGAGATGGATAAAATATGTTATTATTGACAAAGAAATAGTAGCTCGAGCATGCTAAGAGTGCAGCTGTGTGAGAGATAAGGAAGTAGTGTTAAGTGTTATGGTCATCAAATAGTGGCAGATGGA